ATCTCCACAAAAACGCGGCTCCCGCTTTTATTGTGTGAAAAGAGCAGATACCTTGGAAGGACCACCCTCCGAACCAGGGGAGGCCTGTGTGCAGCTGCACGGAAGGGACAGCAGCAAAGCAGAACCCAGAGAGACGCTGTGTCTGCCAGCCAAAACCATTTGTGCTCCACTGTGTATGTCCTCAGTGGCCCCCGCATGCCCAACGAGTCCGGGGGGGGGGTTGGGAACACCAGAAAAGGGCTGGTTGATCCAGAGATTGGCCCGAGATCCAGTCTTCCACAGGTTCACATAACCCCTCCTCGCTGGCTCTGGCAACACCTCAAATGGCCTTTTGTCTACCTAGGAAAGGAGCTGGGAAGCCTGAGAAAGCCAACCCCTCCCCTGCAGACCCCCCACTGGCAGAGCCGGGCAGGCAGCTCAAGGCCTGTCTCTGCGGGCAGCGGCTGCTGCTGCTCCTGACCAACGGAGAGGAGCCTGTGGGGTCACCAACCCCAAAAGGCCTCTCCCATGGGAGTCCAGGCAGCTCCTGGAGGAGTGTCTGTCCCAGATGGCAACCTTGGTTCCCGTTAGGGTGGATTGTCTGCTGCCCAAATGGTTAGCCTCCTCCCGCTTGTGGAGGACGGGGAGGCTGAGGCCCCAAAAGAGGTGCTGCATGCAACGCCAGGCCCCACATCTGGCTCCTCTGAGTTAGCAGATACTGTTGCTCAGGATGGGAATGGCTTGGTTTTCAAGGTTTAGCATTTTTGCAAACCAGACCCTGTGGTTAATTTATTCTTCAGTGTAGCGTGTGAATGCTGAAAATCGGTGACTAGTTTGAGCGTGTTGCGTGAACTGCCTTGTGGCATGGGTGTGTCTCCTGGCCTTTCCTCCTTTCATGTACGCCTTCTGCTCCTGGGACCTGGGTCACCCCCCTTACATGCAAAGACACTTGAGAAGATCTCGGGACAGGGCGGGTCGGAGGGCTTCCATTGTCCACGGCAGAAGTGGTGGCAACTCAGGATGTTCTGGACCTTCTTGTCAAGGTTAGCTACCAGCTTTCTACTGATGTTGGACAGAGAGAGAGTGAAGGGCTCTTTGACGACCTCCGCAGATGAAGGCATTCAGGCCATTCCAGAAGGAAAGGGTGTCATGGCAACACTTGGGAAATTTCCATGGCTGGAGTGGGAAAGGGCATTCTTCCTGCAGAGTATCTCTGACTCGCCTGCTGCCTCCTGCAAACGGCGTCCTACCCCACAGGGGCATCCCTGATCCATTGAGGAGGAGACAGGCATGAACATCTGTTTCGTTCCTTTATTATGCATGGCCCCCGGTCCTGTGAAGTATCAACCCAGGGCCAAAATACACAGTGCAGAGCTACGCTGGTCTCTGCGTTGGACAATGTTCTCCTTTAGATTTTTTCTTCCCACCTCTGTAACTCCAGCATCACAGCGTTGGGCGCGTGAGAATGCTATTTGCCACAACACTCAAAGGCAGCCCTTTAAGCACCTGGGGGTTCTGCCCCCATCCCACCTGAGATGGCCGTTCTTCCATCTAGGAGCAAAACACTAATTTGATGCAAAGGCTTTCCACAAATCTAACATCTCCTCTCATGTGTGGGGCTCTGCAAGACAGCACTACTCTCCCCCCCCCCACAGCATCCCCAGGTTCATGAACACAGCTGCTTGTATGCTGGGTTGTGGGCATGCACCATGCAACCCCCCCACCTCCTCCTATTTGTAACAGAAAATATAGATGGCACTTTAGAAACTGAGCCCAAGGCTTCCTGTGCAAAGAATCCGCTGCGCCTGTGTCCTCTGGCGTCTCCCCAAACCGGGCACCCAGGTTGCAGCCACCCCCCGCTCCAGTCAGTGGAAATGGATGCATTTCATTGCGCTAAGTGGGGATACGAGGGAAGGAGTTTTAGTGCTTCTGGCTCCCCTGCCATTCAAAAGCATTGGCACCCGAGGGACACAGCTGCTCAAAGGGGCGACGGCGAAAGTGCTGGCGGCAGAAGGGCCTGGCGAGCACCCTTGCATCAAGTCAGGGCCCTCCCCCCACTTCCTTTATTG